GACTTGTATCCAGGAGTTCAAGGGCAGAGGCACAGCTCCTCAAGTTCCAACATGTCAGATCTTACCACTTACCCCAATATGCCAAATAAAGAGACAAGAAGTGGTGAAGGGAAGAGAGCTTCATTACATAGCACAGGCATGCCATGGAAGAGGCAAAGTAAACACGACAGCCCATCGTCAGTGTACAGACATGAACTTTAGGCTTAAATAGAGAAAAAATTCAGGCAGGGGAAGAGAAGAATGCATAATTAAACAGTCCCAGGCAAAGGGTGGCCTGGTTGATTCATTATCTCAGTTCTGGTTCTGTAAGGGGTTCCTGAGAAGTTGTTATCACTGTCATCACTTGAGGGTAGTAGTTTGGTTCCTATGAGATGATTACTCCTGCTCCAGGGTGCAGCCTGAGCATTACTGGTAATTGTCCTAATTTGGGGGGTGATCTGTCCTGCAAACTCTTCTCTTTTTTATCTTGGGGGAAGTTTTCTCCCTTGTCATAAAGATGTTATCAATCAGTCCTGTCCTTTAAGGAACATAGGAAATGTAGCAGAGACAGAGTAAAGGACACAGATGCAGAACAGAGGCAGAGATGCCAAGCTTGCCTCCTGCTTTTAATGAGTCCTAAATAAGGAGTCAGTGCTTTTTAGCAAAAGCAGTTTCTTTCTTTTTTTGTGGGACTGAGGTTTGAACTCAGGGCTTCATGCTTGCAAAGCAGGCACTGTACCGCTTGAGACACACTTACAGTCCATTTTGCTCTGGTTATTTTGGAGATGGGGATCTCAGGAACTACTTGCCTAGACTGGCCTCAAACCACTATCCTCCAAGTAGCTAGGATTGCAGTCATGAGCCACCAGTGCCTGGCTGCAAAATCAGTTTCCAAGCACCTGTTGCTATAAAACATGTAAAACTAACCAGATCAGACTGTATTAAGCATTGACATAAAGGTAAACACAGTACAATGGGAGGACATAGGAAAGAGCAATTAATTCTGACCACAGATGGCTGAGATGGGCTCTAGAGACAAGAGAGTATTTGGGCTGGGTTTTGAAGTAGAGTAAGACTTTGACAAAATAGCAGGGAAGAAAAGATGTTCTAGGATGATAAAAAAAAGATAAGAGAAAGAAAGAAGAAAAAGAAAAAACAGCTTCATTTGTGGCCCTGAGGCAAGAGCAGGCTGAGGCCATTCTGAGGAAGGACTAAAAGGTGAGAACAAAGGTTGTGAGGAAACTGGAGGGACAGAGAGGAGCCATCAGTGAAGTCTGAGTGAAAGTTGGGTTGCAGTTAACACCATGGCTTTGCAGTCCTGGAGAAGACTAGGAGAGAATAGGAAGGAGAAGGTGCCTCCACTGGGGAGGAGAGAAAAGAAGATTGTGAAAGAATTTTCAAAATGATAAAGCACAGGCTGTGGAGATCATTGGAAACAACAACAGCAAATGCAATGCATCAAATACAGTCACCATTCTTGTAGAACCATCAAGTCCTGAATGTTTGGAGCAAGGGTATTATAGAAATTGCTGTTTTGATTCACACCAGGACCCGTCTTTGCCCTGTGGGTCAGGTTCCACCTGTGGACCAGGTGTTCTCAATTCCCTTCACAGCAACCTCAACCATCCTTCCCTGGGGTTTCCAAAGGAAGCCCCTCTGCAGGGACTGGTGGTTCCTACTTTGTGTCCACTGGCACTGTCAGCCTTGTTAGCAAGGGTCCAAAGAGGTTACCTAGTTACTTGGCCAGTTGCCTTCTTCAGACTCAGGAAGTGTTGGTCCCTGAACATATGCCTACCTCAGGCTTTTCTTTCCCTGGATTGCTTGGTTAGCTTCTCTTCCTGGGACCCTGGGCTTCCACATTTGCTGTAACTCTGATCTCCCGAGCCAGAACCTGTACAGATTCCCTACTGTCTTTCACAATGTATTCTTGACTCTCTGCTCCCAGGTCTTCCAAATGACCTGTTGTTACCTGCACTCTGGTGTGGTACATGGAATAAGAACATATTACTTTCTGCTTCTGCTTGAAAAGTGTTCTCAAGCAGCCACTTTCTTCTGGTTATTTCTCATTATGAAGAAAGAAGCAGGAAGGACAAAGAGGGCTTATTTTTGCTTGCTTATGGTAGTTACATTGGTGGTTATATAGACTAAAAACAAATGGCTATTTCCTAGTAGCATTAGACACATTTCATTTTGCTCTGTCATGCTCATATCCATGAGAAGAAAGAGATGTTGGGAGAAATGGCTCTCGCTAAGTGGGTGGTAGTGGTGGTTTATGGTTTGAATTTGAAACTAAGAAACCAAATAAATAAAATAAAAACAAAAGGCACTTGCCTTCTGTCTAAATAAAGTTGAGTATATCAACTAGTCATGAAATCATGAAGACAAAATGTAGCCATACAGGACTTATAAATATCCTCAAGTATCCCTAAAACAATACGTGTCATCTTCCATATAATAGAGATGTCTTCCTTATCTACCAGGGATTTCGACTTCCATGACAAACCTCCTTCATTTGAAGTTGACCTGTGAAAGAAAAGATTTAAGCCACATAATGTCAACACAATACCTTCCCAACAAAACAGATCAAGAAGTCCTCCCATGCCCACATACATCTTAAATTCACTTACAATCATTAAGTCAAATTCTTCATGTAAATAAACAAAACACCCAACTATCTCATTTGAAAAAAAAAAAGTCACAAGCAATAAGCCAAGAAGATCAAGACTGAGGAAGGGAGGGAAGGTGTGAGAAAGAAGAAAAAGGAAGGAAGGAAGGAAGACAAGCTTGAGTTTTCCTAATTTCTTTATCCAAGCTCAACAAATTTAACTAGGTGTTTGGAAAAATGCCAATATTTTAAATGCCCTAAATCCCTACCCAAAACCTTTTACACAATTAGACCTTTTTTGTGTAAAAGTGTCATCTAATCTCTGTGTGATTTGAGCTTCTGCTTTTCTTACCTTCAGCCTCTGGGTAGCAGAGGCTGCCAGGCTGTGGAAGGAAATGCAGCATAAATGATGGTTGAGAAGGATAATTGATTTTTAATTTAATGTGATAAGATAATCTATTAAAAAATTAATTGTGCCCTGCTTCTCACTGAAGCAGACACCTCAGAAAAGACAAAAGACCATTTCCTCTCCCCATATAGGCCCCAACTATCCACTTCCATTCCCAGGATGGCCCTTAATTGTCTTTGTTTTTGAAAAATCTAAGTGTCTCAAACTCTGATATATATATATAAATCACCTGAGGGGCTTGTTAAAATGAAGGTTTCTGGGTCCCTCCATGGACCTACCAGTTAAGACTTTTGGGGATGAAGACTGGGAGCCACATTTAAAATCCTGATTCTGGGGGTTTTAAGAACATTGAGAATCATTAGATCAAAGGAGACAAAAACCTCTAGGTACCTGAGTATGAGACAGAGGGGAGTTGAAGCTTCAGAGCATGGGATCAGCCTTTGGAAGGCTCGTATCCCAAGCTAGGGAGCTTGGTTTTTATCCAAGGAGTGAGGGGCCCCTGCAAGATTTTGGGGAAGGGCTGAGACATGGTAGCTTTGCATCTCATAGTTCAGGGGTCACCCTCCATAAGAAGTATCCATCCTGGTTCAGCAGAGGTTGCTGCTTGTCCAGTTCTGTAGTAGCCCACACATACTTCTAATTTACCACCTGTCACATGGCATTGGCATGACCCTTTCAAATGAGTTATTGTTCTAATCTCTCTACCAGTAAGCTTCTGTGGGCAAGGAAGTCATTTCCCCATAGTGCCTGGTATATGGTACTTCTATAAATGTTTAAGTGGACTATTGTGTTCCACTTACAACAGCCCTCACCACCAAATGATCCTGATTTTTCCTACAAAAAGCAGCTTCACTGTCCCCCACTCCTTGCTTGCATGACCTGGAATACTTCCTTTCTTCAGAGAAACTAGGCCCTGAGTCTAATACCCACACTAACTAGAGGATATCAGAATTATGGAAGGGGTAAGAATGAAATGTCAGATGTCTGAAGTTTGGATCATATTGCTATGAAGTTGTTTAGTCTACATTTTATGTTTTAGAAAGAACAAAACTGTCACAACCCTTAGGTCTACATCTGTGTAGGTGAAGTCACTCAAAACGATTTAAGGCACAGGAAAATGTACCGGTTGTTGATTATACCACATGAAAGCAACCGGTGTCCAAAATCTTTAAATGCTAAAATCAAAACACCTGAAATCTTGTCGGGACCCCCCCCCCATCCCAGCTCCAAGCACCTGTTTCAATCTAGCCAGATCTCTCACTCTTCATCCTCTCCCACTCTGTAGCAGAGGAAAAGGCAGTAGGAATGTTCAGTCCCTTCATTTTTAGAAGAAAAGTGAGATATCAAATAAGTGGAGATATAATAACCAAACCTCCACTAGCTAGAATCTTTCCTAGTCCTGCAGTTGTGTCTCATCCAAGAAGTGTGTACCCCATGCAAAATGTAACTTTTTCGTCTTCGTTATCATCTGAGTGCAGCTCTTTGAATTAAGGACCCTCAAATCAGTACGGGGACTCTGGGGCTCATTAATCCTGAAGCTTGGACAGAGCCAAGTGAGCAGACAGGTGACAGGACAACCCAGCATCTGGAGCTACTTTGGTAGGTGGTTCCAGAAGTCCCCTTCCACGGTTCACACAGAAGTGCTCAGGAAGAAACCTCAGGAGGTTGAGCCCCTGGTAAACTTCGCCCTCCCAGAGAGAGAGAGCCCCCGTAGTCTTCCAGCCTTGCTCCTCCGACTGACCCTGCCAAGGGAGAGGGCAGGCAGAGGATTCCAGCACAGGCAGGGGAGGGGGCTGCCGGCCACCGTGCGCCCCGCCTGCAGGTGCCCAGGGCGCAGGGCCTCCGGGAGGGGCCTCGCCCCGAGGGTGGGGGTAGGGGGGCGCAGGCTCGGCTCGTGCCGCAGCTCCCCGCCCGGCCCGTGCGGACTCCGCACACCTGTCCGCGCAGAGCGGCTTCATTAGGCCGCGCCTGTGCTTCCTGCGGGCCGCGGCTGCTGGAGTCCAGGCCATGGAACCCCCGGAAGATTCCTGCAGGGAGCCGCGGGGTAAGCGTGCACTGAGCTGGGCTTAGGGAGCTCGCTCAGACCGTGAGGCACTTTGACAACCTCGCCAGAGTTAAGATGACCTAAAACCATGGGTAGGCAGAAGGGGTGTAGTGGGGAAGGGAGGCGACTAACCCTCCCACCCCCTTTGAGGTTCCTATCTCCCAATAAGTAGAGAAGAAAACGAGCCTAGAGCCACAAGACCCTTCTGATCTAGACGCAGACCATCATCTTTCTTACTAGGGCAAGTCAATCCAACAAGATAACCTGTTTATTGACCACCTCCTCCGTACCAGCCTTATTACTACACTACAAACTGTCCTAAAATGCTGTAGTTAATTGTCTCTCCCCCGCCCCCTGTATCTCACCAACCTTGCCCTTTCACCCCAACATACTGCTCTCTCTCCACCAACTACAGACTCGCTCCTGCAGGTCAGATCTATTGTGTGTCTGAGGGAGAATACCAGGACATGCCTTCTTTGTATATTGTTAGAAAGTCATTCCTTAAGACACAACATCACATGCAGTGCCTTTAAAATAACAAAGGCTCTTAGTCTCTACTTAGCATTTATTTGCATAGTTTCTCATTTGATTGGAAATGATACAGCAATAAGCTGAGCAGAGGGTTCTGTGTTCTGAGTAAGACTGGAAGTAGACTGTTCAATGATCCTGGCAAGGACTTCACACAGTGATTGAGAGCAATGTATGCCCTTGTTCTGTGTGATACTGAGCCAGTATTCATGTCTAATCCTCATTTCTTCATCTAGTAGAAGTGCTTTCCTCACAGGATTAAATGCATACTGTTCTAATCTTTGGAAGGAGCTAATTTAGCCCTGTACCTAGAACATGGTAAGCTCCAGATTGTATCAGTTGGCTCAAAAGAGGAAGGCCATCCTTTTGAAGATGTGATAGGGGGTTTAGTTCCAGACGGGCTCCTCTTTCCTTACCTGTAAAAGGAGGTTGGCATGGACCTAAGGAGAACGGAACTGGGTGGGCTGGGGGAGGTGGGAGTATACAGGTTGGGTATGGTTGGCAGGGAGAGAGGAGTTCTGCGAAGGGCGATAGTAGTCCTTCTTAACATTCCCTTTCTCACCCTTGCCTGGGTTTCTGGGGACCTTTTGACCCTGCCTTGTTGCCTTCGCAGGCAGCAATGCCAGGGTTCACTGCAGGAACAGGATCCAGCGTGAGGAGAAGCAGAATGTCAATCAGCCTGTTTCTCTCCTCCCAGTCCACCCTACCCCCAGCAATTGTCCCAAACAGGTGCCAGTCCCTCAAAGTCACACCCCTGGTGACTACAATAAAGAAGGGAATACATACCCCAAATTAGGATTGCTTTTCTACCACAGCTAAGTGCCCCTCAGAATTGCATGTATTTGCTTTCATTTTCCAAAGCAATTGGATTATCTAATTTGATCTTCCCAACCCTAAAGTTAGGAAAGTAAGCCTGTCATAATGACCCCATTTGATAGATGGGCAAATGAAAGCTTGAGACCCTACAACAGATCTGCAGCAGAGTGGTTCTTCCAAACTGCCCCTGCCCAGGCTCTCCCTCCTACCTCGTGCTGAGAACAGTGGCTGCTGCTCCTACAGATCAGGAAGCTGGAAGCAGCAAGCCCTTGGCTGCTGGGCCTATGGCTGAGGAAGCAAGACAGGGGTCAGACCCACAGACCCAAGATGCCTTGGATGAAGAGCCACCACCTCCCAGCTCTGGCACAGGAGAGAAGCTGCTGTCTGAGGCTGCTGGAGATCTAATGAGGGCTGATGCCTGGACAGTGTGTCAGAACTCCAGCTCTGGGACTTTCTACAAAGATCAAACCTCAGCCTCTCCTAGACCCCAGCCTCAGGCAAAAAGTTTCTCCTTCCCAGAAAAAGAGACAAAGACAATGAAGAGGCCCATTTCTCCAGCCCCTGGAAAACAGAAAAAGTCTAATGCCATGGGTCTGGTCTCAACACAATCTCTGAGTGTCACTAACTCAGCCCGTGCCACACACAAACCAGAGCCTTCTGGTTCGGGTCCAGGCCGCTACCATCTGGCCAACCTTCTCAGCACATTGGTCCAAAATAGCCAAAACTCAAACCAGAATAAGGGGCCCCCAGAAGTGACCTGCCAAGTTCGGAAAAAGACTCGAACCCTGTATCACCCAGGTAAGTCCAGGTAAAGGTGAGAGGAAACCAAAGAGATATGGTGAAATCCTGGGAAAGGGGGAGCTATACAAAGAATAGAGTTCCGGGAGACCTGAGGGGCAGGCTTAGTTTGTCAGTTTGTGCTGGATCCCTCTCTTGGCCAATGGTAGCGCCACCATCTCTGGCCCCTGAAGGGATGTCAGTGTTTTCTTACCAGAGAGTGAGCTTGATACCAGGAGAGAAGGGTCAGAAAAGTAATTACCACATAGGTCTCTGCCAGACTCCCTGAGATACAGAAGACTTGGCCTAGTGGGAAACTTAAGTGCAAGGCTCTTGGGTTGGGGACAGTGGTCCATCTGCTAGAGACATTTGGGTATCTCTCTCTCCTCTCCTACCATGTTACCATGTCGTGGGTATTCCACTTCCTTCTACAAGTGTCTTCTTCCAGATCAACTGGAGGAGCTGGAGCGGTTATTCCAAGAAGACCACTATCCTGACAGTGATAAGCGCAGGGAGATTGCCCAGACAGTGGGGGTCACCCCCCACATCATGGTAAAGGGATGGCTTACCTGTCAGGGGGTGGTAGAGGACCTGCCTGTTGGAACTGTCCAGGTGCAGGGCATGTGCTTAGCTTCTGCCTGCCTGGAGGCTGAAGTTAGGTCTCATATGGCTGTGTTCCCACCCATTCCATCGGGCCGGAGCCTTAGGCCACTAGCAGAGAAGGGTAATACAGAGAGCTTTTTATAAAACCAGGCTGTCAGAGAGACATCTGGAAACAGTGGTGAAGCGACCTTGCATAGTCATGTAGCTCATTGTGTGACAGTCAGGACCAAGCCTTAGTTGCTCCCCCTTTCTCAAGTTTTTCAGATGCCTTTTCCCTCTAGGTGTGGTTCCAGAATCGCAGGGCTAAGTGGCGAAAAGTGGAGAAACTGAACGGGAAAGAAAACAAAGATAATCCTGCAGTTCCTGCCCCTGCCAGCAGTCAGTGCAGGTGACAGTGTTTCTTCCTGTAATCCATCCCTTGAATCCAAGCTAGGGTCATGGGGTCTTAAAGGAGAGTATTGGAAGGTAGGGTATGAGTCCTGGGGTTGTTGGTGAGTATTTAGAGAGATTTTGGTTGGGATGTGGTTAGGAAGTTGCTGATTGAGTTTGGGAATCTGGTGTCCCTTTCCTGGTATCAAGGGTTTAGTCTAAATCTAGAGGCCAGCGAAATGAGTCTTCCTTTCTCGCTGTCTCCAGGTCCACATCTGATCTTCCACCTCCTGTGCCCATGGACCCAGAGCATGGTACTATTCCTCCAGAACCCTCTCTGGATACCTTTACAGGTGAGATCCCACTTTTAGAGGGTTTGCTGGGGGGAGTGAAAGATAAGACAGTGAAAACAGAGGTCCTTTGTAGAGGTGGGAGTTGGTTAAAGCTTTTCAGGGTTTGGGGCCAGGAGGTCCCATTCAGGGAAAACTGGGCATTGCATCTGTCTGCTAGTCAGAAATTGCAGGTTTGCCTCCCCATCTTTCTACCCTTAGTGCCCCTCTTTGCCTCTGTTCCTAGAGCCACCCATGCTGCTGACTTCTGACCAGACTCTGGCCACCACCCAACACAGCGAGGGAGCTCAGAGGGTAGCCATGACCCCACCACTCTTCAGTCCCCCACCTGTTCGAAGGACCAACCTTCCTTTTCCCTTGGGCCCTCTCCACTCTCCCCAATTGATGCCTCTGCTGATGGATGTTCCTGGCAATGACAACAGCCACAAGGATGGCCCCTGTGGGCCTTGGGGTACAAGGTATGAGACCTAAGGAAGGAAGTGACTTAAGTTATCTTGGAAGGGGTACAGAAGGAGAAAAGCTAGATCTTGGGAGGTAAGAGAGCTAATTGAGAGGGTCAATGAGTGGTTTATGTATGTGATATGGATTAAAAAGGATAAGTGAATTTGCAGCAATAGAGTAGAAACAAGGAAAAGAGATAGGAGCAAGAAAAGGAAGAAGAGGAGGCAGCAATGGTTTTCCCAGTTGGGGTTGCCACAAAGATGGAGAGAGGATTTGAGAGGAAGGGTTTCTCTATTGTGTGGTAGGAATGGGGAAGGCATCGCTCCACCTTACTAAATTCTCTCTGTCTCCATAGCTTCACGCCGCCACCCACCTGCTCATATTTGGATGATTTGGAACCTCAGGATTACCAACCAAGCAGCCAGATGGGACCATTCCAGTTCTCCCAGCCTCCACAGTCACAGCTTTTCCAATCTCCTCAGTCCCAGTTTTCATACATGTCCCCTTTCTCTCTCCCTTCCCCATGCCCAATTCACTGACATTTCCACCGCCAGAAGACTCTCTCTTTTCCTTTCCTTGTGGCTCCAGTGGGGGCACATCACAGGGCTATTGCCCAGGGCCCCCATCAGGGCAGATTCTGCTGCAGCCACCTGTTGGGAATATGGGTGAGTTGGGATAGAAGAGAAGGTCCCTTTTGTGATTGAGGAAGTTGGGAAGAAACAGAGAGCCTCATTGTCTGGAGGGTAGTCTGAAGCAAGGCATGAGTGATGGGCAGATCCCTTTCTCTTGACCCTGGTTTTCAGTCCAGCTCAACCAGTTACTAGCACTCCTGAGTCACAGTCTCTGAGACACCAAAATAGGAATAATAGTTCCATATGATTGACAGATTTGGTGAGGGTTAGAAACAATAAGAATGAAAGGACTTGGCAGAGAGTGGATGGAAGCTAATATTAGTATTCTGCTGTGCTACTTGGACCTCTGAAATCCCAGAAGCATATGTGTCATTAAGACTAAATTCTAGTATGGGGGGGGATGAAGGACATGTCCAGGTGTGTCCAATTTTATTGATGCCAGTATGAGACAGCTCTTAGCCTAACTCTTGTTTCATTCTGTATCCATATTACCAAACCACAGGACTTGGAGTCCAGGAGTTTGTTCATTCTGAGGGAGAACCTGGTGCTATTGTTTTAACTAGACCAGCACTGGGGTCCTACATTGTGTGTCTGTGAGAGGGGAAGGGACTCTACTCCAGAACACACTGAATGCTTTTTTATATTCTTAGTCATGTCAAATAATTCTTATGCTCTTTGATTCCACAGGTACAGTTCCCTGGAATGATCCCTGTTTGCCAGAACTACCCTTCCCTGGCCCGTCTTGCCCACAGGCTCCAGGGCACCCCCCTGGTGGAAATAGCTTCTTCACTGATCTATTTCCACTTCCCAGTGCTCAGACTATGAGCAGACAGTCCTCACCAGGTCTCAACCGGTTGCCTGAAAGGACCAGACCAGGAATAGGGCCCTCACTCAGTAAGGCATATGAGGAGAAGACTGCCTCTTTCCTGGAGCAGCCAGGACTGAAAGAGGTCAGAAAGGAAGATAAGAATAGCCATGTCCCCTAGTTTGGGCCCAAAAAGTAAAGAGGCTACTTGGTGGGACAGAATTGGGGCACTAATTAAAGGGTTGGGAGGACTGTGGATTATTGACAAGTTGAGGGAGTCTAATTGAGGGAGTCTAATGTCTCCCTGATGTGGGCTTGTCTTGCTGGACATGAGCTGGAGAAGACAGTTGGCCCCACCCATTTTCCTACATGTCTGTGTGACAGTCCTGAAGATGAGAGAGCCATGTTATTTCTGAATATCATTTCACTTTATGTTGTTTCCTTTTCTTGCTAGACACTGAGCCAGAGTGTCCACTGAAAGCAATAAACTAGTATACCCTTTGAATTTTCTCTGTGATTTGTGTCTCTCCACTGAACTGACAAACAGCTCCATTCCCTACCATTTGAATGACTGGTTATTGGATTCAGCTATCTGGGTAGGTCCCTGTTGGGCATGATTGTATGGAGACTGACAATTTCACAAAAGCAGGAATTGGGCATTCCTTCAATTAGGTCATATTCTATTCCCAAACCCCAAACTGAACCTATGTCTAGGACTGTTTCTCGAATTGGGGTCCCATAGGGATAACATTGCAAGAGAATCTGAGGATATTTGAGGTCAAGTCTATAGTTTAATGAACTATGGTTTATTTTCCCTAAGATTCTTTTTTTAGGGGGAGGAGGAATCAAATAGGAAGAAAGTGAGGTGTGGGATGCCTAAAACAGTGTGGGAAGCAACAGTTCTCTTCTGTGCAGGACGATGTCCCTGGATATCTGAGAGTACAGACCTCACTGAACTGGAATGAAGGATTCATGTTTTTTTCCTCTGTCCTCCATGCCAGCTTGCAGAGGCACCTTGAGCAATGACCTAAAAGGATCACTATTTCACACTAAAATCTCACCCATGCACTGTAGTCTTAATGCCTTGGTTTATGTATGGTTATCCTTTGGGGAATTCCCTTATGGTTATCTAGGGAATTATGGTGATGAGTTGAGGTATAGAAAGAGAGAAGAAATAGTGTAACCAAAGATGAAGAATGCTCTATGTCAGGAACTGAGGAAGGAATGGACAAAGAGTAAGGAAATGCCCATGTGAACTTCCCTTTAGTCCCATTGCATAGATAGGCTTCCTTCTCTCATCTGGTGGTGAGCCAAATTGGACAAATGACAAATTTGGAGTGAAGAAGCAAACATTAATTCCTCTTTCTGGTTCTGTGCTTGAGATATACTTTAGTGTAAGGACAGGAAAGAGAGTGAAAAAGTTGAACTAGTTTGTATGAAAAGGAGAAAGGGTGGATGAGGTCAGGGAGATGGATCTGAAAAGGACCAGAATGATCAAAGGGGAGTAGGGACTGCAAAATAACAAAATGTTGACTGGAAATAGAAGAGGGCAATAGACATAGAACATACTTGGGGTAGATTTTATTCTAACAAGAGAAAAGGAAGGGCACAGACCTGGAGACTGAGGGAGAAGTGACCTAAAGGTCTAAGGTAAGAAAGAACAGGTCATGAAGGGAACAAGAGAAAGAAGTGAGGAGGAATAGGGAGAGGCCATTCTACAGGAAGTAGAATTGAAGAGAGAAAGCTGATGGTACACAAAGATGAATATGAAAAAGGGAAAACCCAGAAAATAGTTATAAAGATCAATATTCTTCTAACACATAAAGAAGATGAGTGTTTAATTAGAGAGACGGAACTGAAGACTAGAAGACCAGTGTAAGCACATGAGAAATTGACTCAAATGACACAGAAATCTGCCAGAGGGTGTACATGAAGGAGAGAGGTAAGAAGAAACAGGATGGTTGGGACTTAAATATAGTAGGAGAGTTCATAAGGAAACTAAAAGAATGCATGAAACAAATGCAAGTGAATGTACTAGTTAAGTATGTGTGTATGCAAAGGAATGTCTGGGAAAGCAGTAAATGTAAGATTAGGAGGAATTTGGGGAGGGCAGGTGAGAGGGCATCAGGATGATGAAGTTAAGAGAGAACACCAAGGAACAATGGAAAATGAAGGTGAGTGAGACTAGCATGGTGAAGATGGAGGCTCAAGGCTTTAAAGAGGATAGTGAAAGGCGGGTCACCATGACAGGAAGATCATTGCCAAGCCTATGGTGTGGGAGGCAGGCATTTCTTCTCAGGGGAGTGGAAGGTGGACCCACAGAAGAGTGGATTGTGTGGGGGTAACAGATGGGAGAGTGCTCCCCTAAAATAGGAAGGACATTTCTAGTGGGGAAAAAAAGAACAGGTACTAGTGTTTTGAATGATAAAGGTAGTGGTATTTCTTTTGGCAGTGGCATTTTTAAAGGGGATTAAAACCTACTCCTCTGAAGTTGGATTATGGGAAGGGAAATAGGTAAAGTAGCAGACTGTTAGAACCAGACTTTAAAATATTATAGAACCACAGTTATGTCTTGGTTAGGCATTGGTTTGCTTCAGTAACAATTTAGGGATAGAGAAATTGCAACAATTCCATTATCTTTAGGCTATTATCTATAACTTCTGTTCCCTGGGATCAAGTTACTAATTGATTTCATCCCTCTATAGGTGGAAATTGTAAAGCAGTCAACATCTGATAGCTCTACAATATTGAAATAGCTAAAACTGTCCAAATTACTTCATTGCATTTGGTATGTGTGGAGGCAAGGTGTCATTCTGGACCTCTAAATGCTATTGTTAGCATTTTTTAAAGCTTGTGTTTTAAGGAATTATTAACTTATAGCTATCATAATAGATCTTGGGTGAAAGTTTGTAGGAACTGAAAAGCAAAAATCTTTGTAAATGGAAAAGAAATATCTTACTTGCACAAATACGCAAGGCATCTATTTGTGTGGTATACAGTTAATGCCCACTGGTTCCAGATCAACAGATTCAACCAACTGTGAATCAAAACTATTTAGAAAAGAAATTGAGTCTGTAATGAATATGTGTAGACATTTTACTTATCATTATTTCCTAAAATTATTTACAATGTATTAGGTATTACAAATAATCTAGACATGATTTCAAGTTTACAGAAAGATGTGCATAAATTCTATGCAAATACTGTACCATATTATGTAAGAACTCAAGAATCTACAGATTTTGGTATCCACGGGAATCCTAGTACCAATTTCCCCCAGATACTGAGAGAAATTTTCAGAGGGTTTTTCAAATCAGCAGTTTTTAATAGCTTTGCTCTAATATTCTAATTATCAAACTTTTGCCACTCAAAGATTGTAATATTGATATTCTAAATTTAAGGACTAGGATGTACATGTGGGAATATTGAATGCCTTGTATTAAAATGCAAAATAGACTCTTTTAAAGTACGCATTTCACATCTCTTTTTGTTTTTACATTCTAGCTCATGAAGTCTTTGAAATAGGCAGCTAAAAATAGATATAGAGGAAAAGATGGAAGATCATAAATATTCTTTCTATTAGACACCACAACATTCTGTTGCTTTCAAAACCTGACAGGGATAGGAATATTCTCTGACACTTTGAATATTGTCTCCTCCAGATTTTAGTTGATTCAGTACCTGCTGCTCCATAATGATTAGCACCTTTGTAGGGAGAAAATACATATCTAGAACCAAGAATTGAAGGGTGATCAGCTTCAAACCTACCTTTACATGCAACTTTCAGTTTCAGATAAAAAGTATTAGATAGTCCAGTAATATGCTAATAACATATTAATAAAAATATTAGTTCATTGAGAATAAAAATGACAAAATGGTGAAAACTTCTCAGAAACTCAGAAACCTAGCGGTGGAGGAACCCTCATAGGTGGTGGTTAAGCCCAAAGCCTTGGCATGGAAGAATCTTCCTACACCACCTTCAATGGCACAGCACTTGCCATTTAGCTTTGATTTTCCACTGGGGTGGACTGTGGCTTTAGCGCCTATAGAATTTTTGAATAGCTTTACTATAAAGTTCTTCCTTCTATCAGGAGAAAATAAAATCTAATTTAATTGGTCAGGATTGATTTTGTTTTCCAAGTGAAGTGCCATAAAGAATAAATTGAATGGTGCAAAACCCAAGGACTATACATCATCCCTCAAAGCCTTGTATTCTATAGGTGATGGTGGGAGCTCATTTGGCCAGCCCTCAGTTGGCTTGGTATCCAGGTTCCTCACCACCCTGGATGAATATGAGTTTGTCAATGTTGTTTCGAGGAGTGGTGTTAGAACTGAAACTTCCTTCTATTAAAGTGATCTGGTCAGCTGCTTAGCATATCGAGACTATCATCTCCATCAAATGATGTCTTCTCCATTTAAATAATTGTTTTTGTTTGTTTTGTTTTACAGTCAATTTAAATTCTTGGTACAATACTTATTATCAGCTATGGCCTCTAAGTCATTTTAATAGAAGATGTTTGAAGCCAGGTCGTTCTTATCTTGTACTCATAGAATTAACATTTTAAAATATACAAATAATTTGTAAATTGTACAAATTAAAATATACAAATGTTTATATTACCTGTTAAATTGTACTTGGTTGATTTTAGCTCTTTTTGATCTTGTTAAGTTGTTTTGGGAGTCTTTATATAACATTACCCATTTTTGCAATTCTGTTCAGTCTGAAAATCTGATCAGTGTGTTTTTTGTATTTTGTAATAAAATAATTGATACATTAGCAAACAGGATATAGGTGAGTACAAGATATTTTGGCATTGTTCCTTCCAAATGCTCCATTAATGGGCACTTTTTTGAGTAGTGAGTTAACTAGCTACAACTTCTCAACTGTAGTATCATATAAAACTATCCTTCGCTATCTCAAACAAGAATTTTTTTTGGAAAAATACTGCATCTTATGATCCAATAAAATCAAAACATATTTTCAGTATAGCAACCAGATAACTTAACATTCTTGAAATCTAATTGTATAACATATGAAATTTGTTCGGTGTGGCTTAGAGAGCACCAATTTTTTATGGTTTGTTTGCTCTTTTGAAGTCTATGGGAATTTTACATTAAATTTATACTCCTTTAATTTCTACAAATGATTACTTTGGAACATTAAATATTTGTTTTTATTAA